GAACTCATGCGGAAGTGGCTTCAGATTCTCAGTGCTGTGCTTTAACCCGCTGCGCCACCAGGGAGGGCCTTAGTAAACTTTTTACAGTCCATCAGCTTTATTTCCATTTTCTGTTTAAGGATCCGTGGCAATAACCTATGACCGTGGTGTCGTACCATCCCACTCAGTGGTCTCAGCTGTGGGAGCTCAGGGTGATCACTCCATCTTCAGTAGGAACCATTAGGTGAGTCCCTAGGGCACCTGCACTTCTTCAGACTCAACCCTAGGTTGAGTAGCAGTAAACTAGGGAGCTGGAGCTGTTCCCGTACCCTGACACCCCTCCTTGGTCACAGCCTATTCCATGACTTCAGTTTCCCTCTAGAAGCAAAGACCAGGTGTGGCCTCCCCAGGTGGTTCATGGGAGACTGAGACTGCTGCGCGTGCGCACAACTCCCCAAGCCTGGAGTCGCCCTGCAGGCCGGCTGAAACTGCACTCTCAGTCTGTGCGGGGATGCAAATCCACAGAACCCAGAGATCCGTGGCACTTGCCGTGAGGCAGGCAGGCTCCATCCCATCCCTGTGGCAAGCTGGAGGGCGGACCTGGGGTCTAGCACCCCTGGGTGTCATGGCTGTCGTAAAGCTGTGTGGATGGGCTTAATGAAGCCATCAGCGGCCTAGTGACCAGCCAGAAGACAGGCTGCAGCAGAAGTGGCAGGAGCAGTCTCAGTACAGCTCCTGGCCCTTAGCCTGAATGGCGTGACACATATAAACAGGTGGCACGAGCAGCCAGCAGGAGCTTCGCCCCAGTCCTCTTCAAATTTATAATGTAGCGCAGTCACTTTTAATTTTGTAGAAGGACGGTTCCATTTTGAAGTTGAGATGGTGCCACCGAAGCAAGATGGTGCTGCAAGATGTTTGAAGGCACCGACCTCCTCCTATGTGGGAGCCACAGGCCGCAGGCATATGTAAGTTTCCCTTTAGTTATGGTGGTACTCTGAGGGCGGGCCTGGAATCTATATATTTTGTAATTGCAGTCCAACTGCAAAGCTATTTTCTGAGCATGATTCCGTTCCGTGTCCTCACAGAGCTTACCTTCAGTGAGAGTAGTAACTATGAAGCAAGCAATTACAAAATATGTAATTACAAATTGAGGTATAGTTAGGACTAAAAATATAGGATATAGCAAATACAGGGTATAAAGAGCATATAAACAGATGGCACCTTAATTTTAACTGGGAGGTGAATGACAAAACAGTATTTAAGCTGTAGCCTGAAGCCTCAAGAGGAATTACCCAGGTCATTATAAAGAGAGGGAGAAGGGCATTTCTGGCAGGAGAGGCGGCCTGGGTGAGGCCAGAGAAGCCTGGAGCTAATAGAGCAGATGGAAGACCTGAGTACCAGAGACTAAAGAAGGCGCAGATGGA